AAGTGGAGTGGATGATCTATATGTGAAAAGACCGGTGCTATCGATGTGAATTTGTGGTTCAGTTGATAGAGCGTGCACCGTACCAAAAGTGTTGGCGGCGCCCATACGTGAGTTTGACTCCGACCGAGGTTACCACGAGTCTGTTCGTGAATTGTTTTCTCGTTTGATTCATCGCACAGTTGGACTCAGAGATTTCTGAGCCGAGAAGGGTAGTCAGCCGAGCTACAATCCCTTTAACGGTATTATCTTCTCGCCATACCAGAGTCGTTGGTGCTAAAATAACTTTTTGAATACCTAATGATGCAAGCGGAACGTGATTGGGAAAGTGCTTGATGGGCTGCGGGTTGCCCGGCTTTTACGGGGTGACAGCTGTGCAATGAAGTATGAAAACTTCTCCAATCTTAAGGAGGAAACACCGGGTGGTCCGTTGCTGTCCATCCAGAGGGGATCTTTTGACTGGTAAACTTCTCCTTCTCGTTATCATTTCCTGGAGCAATCCCTCCAAAAGAGCGAAAAAGGAAGGTCAAATAAAGCTGAGAAATGCTGAACCAATTGGCCTTTTCAGACTGAGCCCATTGATCCTTCAGAAATGACTGGACTTGCAATTGGGAGAAGCCATCTTGTATACCTCCCAGGGTTTGGGAGACACGCGAGCCATCAAATTACGTCAAGCCGCAGTGTGTCATGAGAGACCAGAGCAATTTTAAACGAGAATCACTTGGTTATAACAATGAAGAATTTAGCATTTGTCTAATACATCGAGTGAATTTTATCTTTTACCTCCATTGTATTTCGTATGATCGCTTCTTTGGGGGTGAAGAGCACGAAAATTTTCAATGACGACGCTGTGGTTCCCTAAACTTTGAAACCAACCACATCCGGCTCCCGTCGGGCCTCAATCGAGGTCAGAGTTCCCTCCATCCCCCCGAGCTAGGCCCATTAGTTACAAACGGAATAATACGGGTAGTGAGTCGACATGTGTAATAACTGCTCGCACTTTTGGGGTGGTGTGATGCAACCACTTTAATCAGAGGACTACTGAGTAAAACAAACATGTCGTTGGATCCCCTGACCATGACGGATACGGAGGTAAAACCTCGGACGGGATGCAGATGTACACTACTGATAAGCAAAAACCGTGGTCAGACTCGAATCGAATATCTTCCCAGTGTTTGGTTCACCGCACAATCAGTGAAGTCAAAATTAACAAATAACTGGGAAAGAGATAAAACGCTAAACGAATCGAAAGTGCTTTGTAGAACAAGCATTACCGTGACGGCAGACATTTAATTAGTAGGAAGAGATAGACTCTACCCTCACAGAGGGAGAGGGACGGATTTACTCAACGATTCATTGATTAAGCGTGCCAATTAGGTCACTATAGTATTCAGTAGTCGTTACGCGTAAATATATAAGAACTGTTAATTTGATACAAGCCGGGGGGAAATACGGAAGTACGTGAACTATTCGCAAAAAAGGTGAACCGTGACCACTTAGATAATGATGATGAATCAGTTGGTCCCATCTGCTCGTGTCAGGGGTCAAATGGGATCTATCAAAAATAACCTGGTGGGAATGAAATGTAGCATAAAACAAGAAACTGGATGAAAACGCTTGCCTTCCGTTTGGGACTATTGAACATATCGAAATTCAAGCGGCGGTCAAGAGAACCTCCAGCACGTTGCAAGGTGCGCAAATAATCACTTGATTTGCCGTGGACTGGAGCAAACAGACGTCGCTTAACCCCTGCGCTGGACGGACCGGTAGCCGTTGCCAGTCCAGCCTCAGCTTCGGAAACCGGGAGCTGAGACTGGGCCTGCGACCAGGCAAGCGACAAATCGAGAAAGGGCACAGTACCTGCCGGACCGGGACTGCTCAAAGCAGTTCGATCATGATCTTCTGGCGGAATAAACCTACCGGAAGGTAGATGAGCTGCAAGTTGTGCACTTAGTGCATGGTCTGGGTTGGACAATGTGGGAACAATTGTTCGATGCTGACCTGGCTGCGAATGTAACCCGGTCACCGAAGGTTGGCAGCTGAGTGGCGTGTACGGTGGTGTGTCCGATGGAATTGTTGACGGGCTAAAATCGAGTAAATAGATTCAACAATTTAATCCATTCATTACTACTATCATTATTTATTAAATAATTCCTATTTCCCACCCTACGCGAACGTTAGATGCTAATGTAAGGTGTTACAAAATCTCTGAAACAGCAGAAACATAAGTGAAATCATAAGATCGGCTAAGAAAGGAAGCCGAAAATAGTGTCTAGTACCAGCTCGGCGTGTTTCACAGCAACCGGTCGAGAGATCCATTGAACACCCACTTATTAAGTTGTTACGTTTTAGCGTGCACTATCGCCAAGGTGGAATAATCGTAAGACAGAGGGCAGCAATGGGTGACGTTTCGTTCCTGCTCCAGATAAGGTTATCGGAGAATGCCTCTCTCAGAGCATTTGTTCCGTTCTTGTCGCTGGAGTATTTGCAGCTAAGTGAAACAGCTAATAACAGCAGTTAGCTCATCCAAAGGAGTTGAAAATCACGAATTGGAATATCCCATAAAGTGTGCTAACTGTCTCCAGAACAACTTGGTCACGAAAATCACCCAGTCTATTAGAATGAATATATGAATGGCGTCTCAGTGGCTTTGGATCCGCCAAACCGGACACAGACTTCCGGTGAATTAGGGTATACACGCCAACCCTACTGACTTGAGAGCCAGGGTACGCGGACCAAATACTCCTGTAGTGAACTCCAAGCTTTGATCAAGGCAAATTGGTGGTCCCGTAACTAGAAGAAGATGCGCGTATCACTTGTTTGATACACAGAGTCCAAATAAGTATGCGTAATGCAACTGAGTGGAAGCAGGTCAGTGCATGACATCAGCCACAGGATTGGGTGAATGTGTGATTTCATTGATTTACTAGTCAAGAAGTCTGTTTCTGCTCACTAGAGAACTAGTAGTACAAGGGTTAATCTAAGTAGGTTACTTCGTGTGAAATTCAGGCCCATAGATGGAGAGCTATGCAATACAGTGAATCCTCATTTATCGCGGTAGTAACGTTCCAGAGACAAAAATCCGAGAAGTCGTGGTGTCCCATCAGTTGACGATATATTGTGAGATTTACAATCCTTCGCACACGCCTATAAACGCTTTCCGCTCTCATATACACTTTTCACTTGTTCCTAAACATTCGCTACATTTGCTCAAACGTGCGTAATTTCAACGCACTCACTAGTAAAGTAAATAATAACACGAATAACAAATATATAGACTTATACAGTGGTGAAGTATTGATTATGACGACGTTGATGACAATGAGAAGAATGTACTGCTTGGCCAAGGAGAGCATTTTAGCTTTCCCGAAGATATTACTTCATCGGGCACCTCGTAGGATAACGCAGTCCCGTCGGCTTGGGTAGTAACTCGTACTTCCTATAAATGTGTGCATGTAACTAGTGTCTTCATCCTAATGATGAGTATAGTTACGAGGGACAGGTAGCGCTATGAATTTTTTCGTCGAGCAGATACATAATTTATTTTATTTTGACTTATTATTCCGAGATAAAAGACAAAGTATTTAAAAGCTGCGATACGGCAAAATCGTAACAAGTGAATTATTATTTAGCGAGGGTTAACTGTATTTACTGACGTACCAGTTCAACTCATCGGTCATGGTGATGATAGCATGATCCAAACTATCCCCGACGGAGTAACGATGCCGCCGCGGCAAGCTGCAGTCGAGCAATGTACCACCGGATACTCCGTGCAGGGTTGGGTCCCCGTTCGGAGAGTGACGGACTTGTTGACCACGACTGCTCATCCCGGCCACAGCGGATGAAGCTCGCCGGGGCACTTTGAGAGAGGAGACTCGATGAGGAACCCATTTGTTCTGCTCAAACGAAACATCCGCTCCAGTCAGACTCACCCTGGGAGTTCGTGTAGCAGTATTTGAGCTTGGGCTGGCTCGAAGTGGTGATATTGAGCTCTCCGTGGACTGCTGGTACCGACATCCGGTGTTCATATAATGGCGTCTAGGATCCCCAGCTCGAGTGCATGTCGTGTACTGAGAAATGAGGGATGAGGCGGGAGAGACTACTCCACTCCCACTATCCTCATCACCGACCGATGTGACCGGTAACCGGGGGAGCTGAGTCGTAGCTACTGTGGCACAATTCTCAGTTTCCAACTGAATAAAGAGAGGGCACATGATGACGCAGGTCAATGCAACTCACTTAGGTGTTCACAGCATAATCGATAACGCTGTCTGCTCATGAACACAGGTGTGATTCGATATTGATGCGCTGACGGATATGTGAGACTTGTGAGATATCGTATTCCTTATCATCGACCGACCTTGTCCTTTTCAGCTACTAGATGCGACAAGCTTCGTAAAGCGTCGATTGGAAACCTAATCATCTCTGGTAACCAATCCTGAGTTTAAGGGTTTTCTGGTTTATACCAATAGCTCCCTAGGCATGACCAGATATGTACCGGTAATGAAGGGCGATCATATTTGGACATTATAACGGTAGGTCCACCGACAGAAAAAGTTAGTGATGGATTAGATCTACCACTTTAGTAAAGATTTCCAACATTAGATGGTGACCTAGTATGATATGATGAAAAAAGTCTCATTACAAAAGGAGATTTGCAGAAAAATAGGTAAACCCACGGAGAATAGCTAAGCTATGAAAGAGGAGATAATTGTCATTTCATGGAAGCAACAAAAAGTAAATCTGTGAATGGTCGAAAAAGAGGCATTCGGTATTACTCGAGAAAAAGAAACATCGGAACACTTGATATTTCTGAACGGGACTGTACATAAAGACACATAAGTGCGTGAAATTTTGCAGCACTGGAAATCCATCTATCTTGCCCACAGCAACATGTCGATGGATTTCTACAGCAGCGCAGAAAGTGTACAGCTCATGAACAACATTGTTGTGATGGGAGAAGGGAGCAGATGATGCAGCAAAACGGACGATAACAACGCAGGATTATGAGTTTATACAATAAGCGGAAGTAATGCGTGGTCCGTGAAACGGAACAAACTACGGAAAGCTACCTTGTGCAACTCCGTTTTCAGGTCGTTCAGTTCGATGCCCGGTGGACTCGTTGGCGCCAGATTGGTTGGAAGTGAGAGTTGCGGTTCAACCAGATCCGAATGTGGTTGTACACCTGATCGACCATTGGGAACTTTGGGAGCGGGGGAAAGACGGATAGGGCTTGTATTGGAACCGGGAGACGGATTGGACGGGCTTGGATTCAGAGTGGGCACATATGTGGACTGTTGATTTGGAATAGAGGATAGATTGGTGACTGGCCTGAGATGAGGTCCGAATGCAGGTTCCGGTGCGTCCGGTTCAAATAGACCAGCATACTTTTAGAAAGAGGGGTATGAAAAAACATGAAATAGAGAGAGCGGGATGGAGACAGTGGATGGAGTCGAGAGCGAGTATAGAGAGCGTACGAGTGGTAGACGGCACTGGCTGTGACGTGCGAAAGTAGCACCGCTCAGTCTAAAAGAATCACGGGGCTGGGTTGCCGGTTTACACTCATTACACCATGAGTCACGCATAATCCCAGGAAAATCCACAATAGCTCTCGCACAATTGAAAACGAAAATCTCCAGGATGTACTAATATGTATTCCCGGGTTTAAGTCAATTGGTTAGTTGCCCACCATTCCCCTCAGTCTATTTCCGCTCGCACTGTTGTCGTTTGAACATCAGGTCTTTTCATCCACACCATCTACATTGGAGTTTGAAATTATCCCCTTACAACAAATTGTTATTAAAATCAAGGATTTGTGCGTTTATCCAGAGATTCATTGCTGTTTGATGGCTTTCCACTTTGGACATCTGCAATTGTGAGTTTCAGCTTATGCGGCTTAAACTCAAACGTTCATCTCTGATCATTCCTTCTGCATTCGCTACCGACCTGCCAACCACACAACTTGGTTTCTTTTTTTTGTTTGATTGAGGCTACTGAATACATAACCGTAAATGACCCCGGTGTCAGCATGAATGTCCCTGAAGACTTCAATGTACGCAATNCTCGAATATTTACCACGACTAACAATGGGCCTCTACTGGTCCACTTCCCCACTTGGGTTCCTGATAGTCCTGATGGCTATGCACACACGCACACGCACGTATACACAAATTTCCTCAGTTCATCTCAGGGTAAATCAAACCAATGCCTTAAATCGTTAGCGCTGACTCTAATGAGTCATTTTGCGCAATAGCAAACAATGCTCAATGGGCAGCTAAAAGGGAAGTAAAGTATAGCTGGAATCTACTTTTGGTACCAATCGGTCCTCGACGAAACCTGTCTTCTGTAACTTTTGCTCATCCTCTACCAACTCCCATTCCTGATCCAACAGGCAGTTCAACAGGCATCTCGAGACCACAGAACTACTCAAGGTATTCTTTATTTGCCGGCTTACGCCCTACAATGTTCCGTATTGTTTGGCACGCTGTCATTAAATAGTGACTTGCTCTTCTCCTCCTCCAATCCCCATTCATTATTTTCCTGATGGTTCTGCTTTCAGTACCCTTTATTGCCCGTGTTGTCTCACATACCATTAAACAGCATCTCCCGCGATCAATCAAGCATGTGCACCTCAATGAACGCCGATATCGACGGGAAAACAGCTTGAAGTTTATCTAGTTATGCACCAAACGAAACTTCCAAAAGTGACCATCTGTTTCTTTGAAAAGTGATATTTATCACTACTACCATTCCATGATTATGGAAGTTCATCCCCCTCAAAATCTGCCTATCTTTACTTGGATTTTATTACTTTTCGTCGCTCTGTTTCTCTCTTGTTTGTAACCACTTTTGTTCGAATGCATTCAAAATTCTTAGTTTTCCTTTTCGTGCTAGACGCTTTTTCACAATATTACATATCTTCACACAATATGAAACTGTCACAGGTCCACTGAACATTGTGAGCCCTAAGTTTTCACACAACTAAATATATATATATATATATATATATATACGTGTGTGTGTGGTGGTCCAGTTGTCTAAACTGATCAGTATCATGATTACAATTATATGCTGAAGAGAATTACTAATATCGACGAGTTCAATGTGGCACACTCCACAGCCCCACGTCCCCAAAAGACCAAACTCACTTGATTAAGTCGATGTTTCCAAGCCAACAATTGACTGGCCTCACTACCACGGCGATGGGCTAAGTGGGACTCAACCGGGGTCAGAAAGAGTTGTTGATTGGAGTTAGGTGTTGCGGATGCATTCCAGGAGGAAGCTAAATGCACGGATTCGCAGTGAAGTAGATGTTGAATGTATTGAACCAAATCCGGTGTCAGAGGATGATTGCAAAGACAGACAAGATTCTGCGCATCTGAAACTGTGAACGGGAGAAAAGAGAGATGGTGTGTGTGTGCAAGACTAGGTAAGTTAGATGGTAATCGACATATATAAAACAAAAGGTTACCATCAAAAACTGATCCTCAACAATGATGGGAAAACCACCGGTAAACTGGAATTCCCTGCTGATGCTCTACACAAATCAAAACTGAATAGACACGAACATATACCAAAATAAATCACGACAGTTTCTCCTTTTTATGAAGATCATTGGACTATGATTTGCTTGGCACACAGTTGGGATTCAGACGTATATATATGTATATAGTTATACATTTAACGCCGGCTTGAGAACAAGCTTGGTGCCAACGCCATGACAATATTAACAATAACAATAACGAGCGAGGGGGTTAGGGTACACAGTATAGGAAAAGAATGTAACTAGCTGAATGGGAGATTACAAAAACCGGGACAACAATCGATTCACCCCACGAGGAGGGGACTTGTTCAGTGTTACACACTTTGGAGAACAGGATGTGAAGTTCTCTAACAAGCTCTATTCCACCATCTTTGAATAGAGCAGGGGGAAGACCAGCTTCGCAGATCGTTTCGCTCACACCTAAGGCTTCCCTACCGGTGACTCGGATGAAATGGAACAGTTTACGGGAATTAACCATGGCGGCAGCATCTCTGACGCTCGTTTAGACCACCAGATCTCGCGGTCTCTGCGTAGGCTTACGTTGAGGTTACGACTGGTTTCTCGATGTATTTTATTATGCTCGCTGCCGGTCGGGATTGATTGGCGTGCGTCAAGAAGCCGTAGAGATTCCGCGGAAATCCAAGGTATCGCGGCACGACGTGTCAGACCACGACTAAACCAGTAGAATGCAAAGCATTCTTGATAAGCGACTCGCGCTGGTTAACGTCATCGAGTGGGGTTGATTTCAACTTTTCAGCTACCGCGTTCTGAAAGACAGTTAGGCGTGCTGGTTCAGACAACTGATCATAATCTAACCGTCGATGTGTCAAGCGTTTGGAACGCCCACCAAAGCACAAGGACAGCTTGGCGCATACTAACGCGCGGTCAGATTCGAGGGGAGTGCTCCAGTGCGATCGGCAGTTTTGTGTACAACCCCGCCATTTGTAGTTTATAGCGATGTGGTCGATCTGCGTCCGTATCTGACTCGAGCAGGATGGACGCTAAGTGGCGTACCGGCAGCTGGAGCGTCTGAAGTTCGTACTGGCGAGGAATAGGCGGTGGTCCGAACAAAGAGCCAACAGCCGTTCCCCGTTTTCCGAGTGACAGGAATCTCGTCCGAAAGGACCACCCACATGCGCCTCACTCGAAGTCAGTCGGCCTACTCTAGCATTCATATCTCCTGCTAAAATCACGATATCAGCCCTACTCGCTTTACGCAAGAGGTCGTGTAGGTTATGATAAAATTCATCTTTTACTGCATCTGGGCTGCAGTTTGTCGGGGCGTACGCCAAAACGACAAACAGCTTTCATCTGTCGGGGCGACGGCTGTTTACTTTGCACGAACCTTTAAGTCTCACTGCGCACAGCCTACAGTCGACTGGGCATCCGGCATTAGAGAAAACCAACAGCTTAGTAACTCGAACTACTGAACCGATCACTTGACAGTCAGCTGGACTTTAACACAATAACTGCAACAGTGAGACTAGGAGATTCGAAACTGGAATTATAAAGAGTAGGAATCAAGTACTTACACGTTTTTGTCGGATAAAATGAGGTCTGAGATACAAGCCAGAAATTATATATATATATATATATATATATATATATATATATATA